TCTAAACTGAGCAGCACATACAGCTTGATGCTCACAGTATGTTTGCACACAAACAAACATCCATACACACAGGCATCTGCAGTTAGTGATCCCATGCTGGGACGTCTGCAGACACCGTGTTCTTGTGCTTCCTGCTGCTGTTAACCAGTCTCTCTCTAGTGAATAGCTGAGGGGCCTGGTGCCCAGAGGACGACAGTTCGATCTGCAGAGGAGGAAAGGAAGGTCCGGTCATGGGGGTGCCACCTACACTGGATCACCTTGTCCCAGTGCTCCCCTGCCACTGTCTGAGGGAGGGGCTTTGTTAGGTCACCTGGGGTCAGAGAAAAGAACAGGGTCACACAGGAGAGGCAAACAATGGGATCAAACACCAGACACTGACAGCACTGGTGGCCAAATGATCAAATATATGTGAGTATATGACTCTTTCAATGGTAATAAAAAAGCAACACTTCTCATGAACTGAAAGAAAAAAAATACACTGTTTAACTACTTTTTTTGTATTGGCAACATTTTCATTAATTATTTTTAATTAAATTGTACATTTATAATTGAACATGGTGTAAATCTTGAAATACAAAATAAGGGGCATCAAGTAACCTATTCAAAATTAAACATTTAATTCAAATTATATATATATTTTTAAAACTTTTTGTGTAGAATATGTGTATTATGTTACAGTGTACTGTGAGTCATTTTGTAGAGTTGCTACCTTGAAGGTCACTGATAATGATTTTGTTGTCATAAGAGCCGGTGAGGAGATGATGGGCTCCAGGTGAGAAGCGCACTGAGCGAATGTCACTGCTGTGGGGGCGGTATGTCTGGACTATACGGCCTCCTTTGATGTCATACAACATGCAGGTACTGTCCTCCTGACCTGTGGCCAGCAGGCGGCCGCTGGGATCCACTGCCACCGAAGCAACTGCACTTCCTGTGTGAGAGTGGTAATAGGTAAGACGTTTGCTGTGATTGGCCGCAGCTTACAATTTGGTTTTTGTCTTTACCAAGATTTAACCTCAGAAAGTGTGGTAAAAATGATCCCCCCATTGAGAGTCATGATGTGACTCACCTGAGCCGTGCAGAGTTGTGCCCACCACCCGGACACAGCTGGGAACCCGCAAGTCCCAGAACCGGACTGTCTTGTCTTGGGATCCAGAAGCGATCATCCACCCTCCCCACGTGTAAAGAGTCAAAATGTGACCTATTCAAGCAAAATGGAATCTTAATAACTGTGATATCTTTACCTTCTTGTACTATCTATCTCAAGGTACTGTTCCTAGGCCAAAATCCACCGGGCGCGGCTGCAGCGCCTTCTGGCTGCACTACGACTGCTGGAGCAGATTATGCCAGTTCAGAAATAGAGAATCCAGTCAATTTTTTTAAATAAATACCCCGTGCAGACTTTGCTTCAGTTTCTTTACATCAAAAAAGTACAACAATAAACACTTTAAATTAAATACAATAACATTTAACTATGTCACCTACTTACAAAGTGAAGCACTAATATCAAGGAAAAATAACAAAATACACATTCAACAACGTCGGGTGGGCAAGACGCTCTGAAAACGCTGTGCATCATAAAGCAGCACCTGGTGACATTTTGGCGCCAGAGTCTAGCAGCTCTTCAGCAGAATTCGAAACCCTACAGTTTTTTTTGTAACTGCAGGAGAAGAGCTGTTGCTAACGTACCGGTGTGTCCGCTCAGGGCGTGAAGGCCCTGTCCTCTCTGACAGTCTGTTGTGTAGATGTTGCAGTCTCCAGCCCCGGCACTGATCAAGATGGATCCTCCACTCTCAGGGCCCTCCATAAAGGCCAGGTCCCTAATGGTACCATCATGCATGCTGAACTCCAGGTCTGGGCCTGAATCAGAAATGTACATTTGGGGTGGAAACACAGAGTTACATCAATATCAAGAGAATGGTGAATTGCCTTCTCTCAGTTGTTCTTCTTTAAACTGTATGTGAAGGTGATCATTCAAACACAGGTCTATACTGTTCAAGACAATAAAGTGGCTGTGAAAATGGACATTACTTATCACATACACACGAAAACACATAAAACAGTACCTGTAGCATTGCAGCTGTCAGCATTGAAAGGCAGGACTTTGACATATTTATCGTTGGATCCAGTAGCCAACAGTTGTCCGCAGTGGCTCCATGCTACACAGTAGATTGAGCCTTTGTGGTGTTTGTTCCTCCTGAAACGCACCACCGGCTGCTTGACTGCACCAGAACCGCTGAATGGGCAATGAAAATACCAGACAGACAGACAGACAGAAATGTGTAGGAAAAGAAATTTTCAAAATGTTGTTTAATAATTGTGGAAAACTTAGCGACCTGTATTAAATCTCACACGTTTTTGCTTCTTCTCACAAAATGCTGGCTCAGTCTTCATGAATTTAGTTTCCTTTTGCTTTCCTTGGTCAAAATTGCTCACACGCCTCTAAAATCCCCTGAGTACTCATGCGCACATTTACAGTAATCCCCATACTGCCAGTGTAAGTGTTTTCTATCTGTGTGTTCTATGAAGCCAACATCTAGTTTCCTAGTACATAAGGGTATCATATTGTAAGAATGTCTCATTGTTTGGATCTGTTGTAGTCCCTACCTGGTGTTTAGTGATTCTGGGTAGGCACAGACTCTCAGGGTTTTTGAGTTGGAGCCGACGGCATAGAGAGCTCCAGAGGGATGGAAGGCCACCGCACGCACCGCCTGCGTGTCCTCGAGCTGGTTCACTTTAATAAACTGTGTTTTGGATTTCCCCGGCTGTTGAAAAATAACAGCCTAGTTAAGATTTTTTTCACAACACAAATATCCTTTCCCTTTACAAAACAAGTAAAACAAACAAATGTGTAGATATTTTATAGCATTTATTACAAAGACAAACAATGCAGCTAATACTAAAATGACTGAAAACACTTATATCAAACAAAATAATACTATTAATAATAAAAGGTTGCTGTACCTCTTGAGAGTTTCGTGTCGCAGAGCCGCCAGAATCATCTTGGGCTGACCCTCTGATCTTCTCGGCACTGATAATAAAAATTAACAAACACACACACACACACACACACACACACAGAGCTAGAAAGGTTCATTCAATCATTTAGTTTGTATTTTTACCTATTTGATGACTCCTTGAAGGTCCAGTGTGTAGGATTTAGTGGCATCTAGCAGTGTAATGGCAGATTACAACCCCCACAGCTCACCCTCCCATTTAAAGCATTGAGGAGAAACTCTGGTGGCTGCAAAAAAAAGATACACCCTCTCTATTGTTTGTGTTTGGTTTGTCTGTTCTGGGCTACTGTAGAAACATGGCGGTTAAACATGGCGGACTCTGTGGAAGAGGACCCGGCCCCCACTGTAGATAAGAACGGCTCATTCTAAGGTAATAAAAACGATTCTTATTTTCAGGTCATTATAAAAACATACCTACGACACTGGACCCTTAATACAGATATCCTATCAAAGCTAAAGCCAAATATAACACAGGCGGGTTCTTACCTGTGACTGGCAGGAACCGGGGACTCGCTCAGGGAAGGCAAGCCATGGCTCCCAGTCATTAAGGGGGTGCTGCTGACCCTCCCACCTGGCTTATCCTTTGGCGGCCCGGTGTCAGGGGTGTGGCGGGTGTTGGTGGTTTTGGGACTGGAAGTGCTGGTGCCGTTCCACTGCTGGCCCAGATGCGTCATCACCTCATCTCCTCTGTGGTCGATGCCCACGTTCATCTCCTCCAACTTCTGAATTGATCTAGACAAAAACAAGATCTCTTTGTCAACAAGGCAGCACTATGGTCGTGTTTCATTCATTAAATCACACCATATGACTTCCATACCTGCTGAGGAAGGTCTCGGTGAGGTTGTTTTGGGCTCCGTCCTGCGGCTTCACTCCTCCCTCCAGCAGCATCTGCTGGTAAAGCTGTCGCTGTTGCTGCTTCTGCTCCAGATGCTGCTGGACACGGAGGCGCTGCCGGTAATACTCCTGGACGTGCTCTGTGGAGTCAAGACGCTGAACAAACACACAAAGTGAGTCACCATGAAAAAATAAACCCACTGTAAGGCTTGTTCTTGCAGAAGATACAGAACACTCTGAAGCAGTATTTTGACAGTATTTGTTTTGCCTGAATAAGCCCTGTAACTTGAATGGTATTTATTATTGCCTTCCAGTATTCTCTGCTTCAGTTCTCATTGTGCCACTACACACACACACACACA